GATGCAGAACAATAAACATTTTAAACATGATAGAAAAAAGATGAGGTCTGAAAACTGACAAAACACTGCTTTACTAAAAAAATAGAAATATAACAGAGAAAAACCAAGAAGAAACAATACTTTATTAAATGTTGAGCTGATTTTAAATTATTAGTCATCCTGGAAAGGCAGCAGGGTCCATGAAGAGAGCTGTGACCTGACAGAGCTGCAGGATGAATGTTTTATAAAAAAAAACATATTTGTTGAAGCTACTTTTCATAGCAGAAACTGACTGACCTAGATACTGTAATATATGCAGAAATACTGAAGAATTTGGTCTATTCTCCTCCAGGAGGATGAACCAACCTGCCATCATGTTTGATTGTCACTCAGAATTTTAACTTAATTGAGATTAAATTTGATTCAAGAAATTATTTTGATAGACCTAAAACATAACCAAATAAACACTAGAATATAGAAAAAGATTAGTATAAATTTATATTTTTAATAAATACAAAGAGAAGCTCATTCCAGGCAATAATAAACCTTCAATTAGCTTCTGATTGAGCTTTTTTTTATTAAGTCGTTATACATAATTGTGTAGCTTTTAAAGATTCAAAGTGGACTAAATTGAACTGGTGGGCCTAAAATTAAAATGTCACTTTTGAGTGTTTCAGTCCATAAGTCATTGTACAAAGTTATTTTATAATCAAGTCATGATTTATGACTGCAGAAGGTTTATCTGTCAGCAACTCCTGATGTTGATAGATTAAACATCCATCCACAGCAGAAACAATAACCAGTAACACTTTATTTGAAGGCGGTTGAATAAGACTGTAATGACACTGTCATAAACACGTCATAACACCTGTCATGAACATGAATAAGCCTTCATGAATATTTGACTGTTGTCATAAAGCGTCATTTGGTAAATTATGACACTTTTAATACAAAGTTGACATTATTCAAAATGTCTTTATGACAACTTGACATTAACCAAGAAATCATTACTGTTTAAACTTTACCTTTAATAACATAAAGTTACCTGATTTTTAAAGTGCAATCAGTAAAACTTTTATAACAAATTTATATCAGTAATGATTTTTTAGTTAATGTCAAGTTGTCATAACAAAGACATTTTGAATAATGTCAACTTTGTATTAAAAGTGTGATAATTCACCGAATGACGCTTTATGACAACAGTCATAAATATTCATGAAGGCTTATTCATGTTCATGACAGGTGTTATGTCATGTTTATGACAGTGTCATGACAGTCTTATTCAACCCCCTTCAAATAAAGTGTTACCGATTTTTTTTATTTTACCAGATAATAGAATTAAGACATATCAGTTTCCATATAAATTAGAATTAATTT